GCAGCTTAAAAAAAAGGGGGAATTTTCAACGAAAGCTGTAACTAATTTTTTTTCATCTTCCATTTTTGGCCTGGCCTCATTTTCTTTTCATTTCGTTTTGACCTCTTCATTCCATTTTGTTTTATTTTCCGCCGCCATTTTTGTTGCTTGTCGTTCGCGTTACTTTTCTTTTTGCCCTTAAGACATATTCTTGAGTTGAATATTCTTTAGTTTATTTTCTCTTTTCACTGTTATTCTTTTATGTTGAGAATTTTTCTCATTTCCCAATCTATTCTCTGTTGTGTGAGTTCTTCATTTTTATACATCGTATTTTGTTTTTATTTTTTTTTTAATCTTTTCTTTACCCTGTCTTCTTTATTCCGCTTATATATCAACTTGAGGTAAAAACAATTCCAGCCTTTGTTTTCTTTTGTTTTGTTTATTTATTTTATTTTTTTTTACAAATGTTTCTCAGAATTGTAATTGGAACTGGCGAGGCGAGTTCAAATTCTGAGTCAGTTGTGTTCGCCTTGGCACTATGTCCCTGGAGAAGGGCATGATTCTGTCTCCCTTTCATCCTCACCCACCAGCTATAATTTAAGCAGAAGTTATATTAGGATTTCTATGGCCATCAGTCTAAGAGAAGGAGACATCAACATTCAAAACACTGGAAAAAACCTAAGTAACTCACAGAATGTGAATCTGTGAAGTGTCATGACGTCATAGGTCTTACATTATGTTTGAATTTTGAACAACTAAGGAAATTATAACAATGACTGATATTTTCATAATAGTCAATATATATCTATGCCTATTTCGATCCTACTAGAGGAAACCGAACGTCTAGCCACACTGATGAGCTGTGATACAGGGAAAAAGTCTGTCTGTGGTTGACAATATATATGCTCCTGAAAAAATTATTTCGGTTGAACTCTCTGGGGAGGAAGTGTGGGTTTGTAAACAGTGACTATTACGGCTAATAATGCAAGACTCTTCGTTAAATCGAATTGAGTTCTCTCAGTCACTGTGTGTTTATCTAAAAAATAAATACGCTTAAATTCACCTTCATCCCTGTGGTGTGCCAATGGACTACTCGTAGAATCTCCGGCTGACGCCAATTCAGTCGGGTTTCGATCCTAGCTAGAGGCAACCAGACATCGAGCCACAATGATGAGCTGTGATACAGTCTGTCTATGGATGACAATACACACACACACACACACACACACACACATATATATATATATATAATGCAAATGAAAGGATAACGAATCAAATCTAAATTCAAACGTTCATAATATTAACTTAATTATAGGGATCATTATAACAGTAGAGCGATAATTCTTTATTATAAGATATTACATTCGAACATACGTAACCCCTACATAAATGTATTCCTGTTTCGATGCATATCGGCGTATCTTATCAGGCGGTGGTAAATAAGATGCGCTGATATGCATCGAAATAGGAATACATTTATGTAGCGGTTACATATGGTCGAATGTAATATCCTATAATTAAAAAGTATATATACATATACATATGTTATAATTATTTTTTTTAAATATGATTCCTTCGCTACATAAGAGTTCTCATGTTTCAAAACTAAGAGACAAAAACCTCAATATAATTATTGAAATTAAACTGAATTAAAGTATCAAGCCCTGTTTCATTCTCAAGCGAAAATAACGCATATTCCAATTATATATATATATATATATATATATATATATATATATATATATATAAGCAAGTGTAAATGGATATAAATCCGACAGAATGAAGAAATTTTGAAAAAACAAACAAAAATCCTTAAATGTAGTTAAATGAAAGAAATGTCGACGTCTGACATTTCTTTCATTTAACTACATTTAAGGATTTTTGTTTGTTTTTTCAAAATTTCTTCATATATATATATATATAAACGGATGTCAGAATTCGTTGAAAAAGACATCCCTACCCTACCTAAAAATAACCCCTTTGTCGAACGTAACTAATAACTGATACAACAAAAGTTAATAAAAATGAATACGCTACCACCCCTTGTCTGAATGATTGGATCTCTCTGTATCCTTGTAGACAATGAATTATGAATTTTTCGTTGCCTTTAAAACTCAGTAAATTTTTAAAAAATATGTTGCTCCAAAATTCGCTTGAAGATGAAATAGAACTAATGTTTTCAATTTAATTACAAAATTAAATTGAAGCTTTTAGTTTCCATTTTTAAACGATGGTTATTACTGTGTAGCGAAAAAAACATATTTTAAATCAGTCAATTTATATATATATATATATATATATATATATATATTAATAAAATATATTCATATATATATATATATATATATATATATATATATATCATATTCATGTTAGTATAAGTAGTATGAGGTTTCTCTTATAAACATTATAAATAAATGCATAACCCCAGTCGACCACAATATTAAATTAAATATCTACTATGCAAAATTTCAAACAACTAACCTTGTAGTCAACAACAATGATTCACCTGCATGATCTTAATTACAGAGAACCAATAGTATATATGAATTTACATGTCCTATAAGGAACGGCGTTCTTGTTCAAACCATATTCATGGGTAAATATAGCTATCAAGAAGATTCATCTTACACCTCTCTGACCATAGTGTGGAGGTTATGTTAATGATTAAATCATATGGATCAAAAATTGTTGAGTAAATTAGGCTGCGTGATGAGATTAACAATTTCCTCTCACATTAAATTTTAGTATTTAACAAACATAGAATAATGACAACATGAGAAAAACAGTTTTTGCGCAACAATGAATAATATATTTATTTAAACAAGAGATACAAAAACAACTGGAGTGAATAGGTAGTTTTAAAAAAAAGTTCAAACGTCCTTTTATGTTTAGATGAAAAGTTATCAAAGTTCTGGTTTGATAGATTATAATTTGTTGAATGGTTTGTACAATAATGAGAATGTGTGTTTTGATATTATTGTAATTTAAGAAAAAATAAACAGTTCAAGTTTGTATTTGAAATAGAGAAATATTGTTTACGACTTACTTTAAGGTTTACGGAATTGTCGCTCTTTTTCTTTTCACTTGTTTGAAGAGAATATTCTAGTTGGGGTAAGTGGTTCTTATGAAAGCTGTGTTTATGTTAATTGCAATAATTAACATTGAGCTTGAAAGATTCTTGTATTAAGTTGAATGTAGAAAACTTGAGTTGATTGTTCGTCATAAAATATTGCTATGTGAATGAGTGTTCTCTCAGGATGGAATCATGTTAAGGAACTTTAACCTAAAGCCTGGAACTTTGAGACGAGTTCAAAGGATTCCGATCGGCGCACTGTCGAAGATGAATGACGTTTCATATTTTATTGCAAACTTTGGTCATGTGATAGGCTCACAGAAGCTTGATAGATTTTGGCGGAATTATCTTTTTGGTGAGGTCAAGAACTAGGTCGGTGTTATTAAATATTAAGTGACCAATTATAAGTTGAGATATTCTGAAAATATACATTAAGCTGAATAAGCTCTGTGATCCACTTTTTGTACGAAAATTGATATTGATAAAAAGGTGGTAACGGGATGCTAAAATAGTTCATTTAGGACTCATTGAAACACATCCGGTAACCTACCAAACTCCAGCTGCAACATACTTGTAGAAAATACATTTATAACAGACAACCCCATTCACATGCAAACATGACTAAAAATAATGGTAAGACTAATAATAAAAAAAAGAAGAATCCAACACACAATAACATCAGCTATGAACACTGCCACAAGACGGGTTCATATACTTCTCAAGGGTATTAGAATGTAAGGGAATAAACTAAAATGGTCTTCGAACTCGGCTTTCCAATTCCTCAATCCGAGCCACTATCCAATAATCCACCTTGCTTTCGAACACTCGACTTAATATGGTACAAAATCTTGAAACCCAGAAAATATTATTTTTTATTCTAATCTTACGTGACATTTAAAGAAGTCAATGCCATTTGCCTAAGCAATCTTTTATTGCTTACCAACTTATACTTTTTCTCACATGATTTGGGGACTCTGAGTCGAAAGTCCATTTTTATTACATTTTCTTGTACAGAACTGATTATTTATAGCCAAATTGCCATAACATTCAAATTAATTCTAACTGCTTCCACAAGAAACCATGAATGTTATTGAATTTCCGATTGTTCAAACACCTTGATTTTATATGATGATAATGCAAGATGATAAGAATAGTGTAATTATATTGTTTTTTCTTTAAATCAATTCAACCCAAGGAAGGCGTTAATGCCACTAAGACGCAAGGCATAAAACATATAATAATAGTCGGACTGTGTATACCTGAAAGGTGATTCTTTGTTTAGAAAAGCTCTGGACCGAACAATTACGAAAAAATTGTCTACAAAACTCTGGCCAGTTCAAGAAAGACATTTGGGTCCCTAACACACAAAAAAGAGAATGTCTCATAGCGTGAATATTTAACATCGAAAAACATAAGAAAAAAATTAATTAATTTTAATATTATGTGGAAATCTTCACGCTTTGGCTGATGACGGTCGCGAGACCGGAAACGTGTGTAACAAAATTATGGAAAATAAAGCATAATATTTTTTTTAAAAATCGTCGTTACAACCAAAAACGTTCGCGGTTTGTCTCTTCTTTTTAATATATACACTTTTCTCTCGTTGGAACTACTATAACCTCTTCCTTATATATATATATATATATATATATATATATATATATATATATATATATATATATATATATATATATATACACACACACACACACACATATATATATTACGCTAAATGTAAAAACTAGTATAGTATTTTTTTTCCTTTTTGTACTTTTGTTCTTCTTTTAATTGCTATTTTTTATTCCGGCTTTCATCAATTATTGCCCTTTTCACTTGTTTTTTTTTCTTTTACTCATTATCTCTGCAATTTTTACGTCGTCTTATTTTTTTTTTAACTCCACACAACATTTCAACAATTCCTTGGCATTCTTCTTTCTTTCCCATAATGACCCCACTTCCTGTTTTTCGCCCCAGTTCACAACTTCCTGTTTTTTTTTTATTCCTTCTCTGTTTAACTGACAATCAATTTTCTTTTTGTTCTTTCTTCCTTTTTATCTCTTCTCATTTACTCTCTTTCTCTCTCTCTCTCTCTCTCTCTCTCTCTTTCACTTTTCAATTTTTTCGGCCCCTTTTCGTCAAGGAAAGTAGAATATAGATAACATTTTTCATGACGCGAGCGTCAAAGGGTGCTCGAATTAATGTCTTTTGTGGAGAGCAAATATAGGAACGACATAAAACAAATAAAAAAATAAAGAAGCTGAGAAGAATATCATGAACCTGGTTCAAAGTGTATTGCTAAGATGTCGGTTTTGAACAAACGAAGCGACAACAGATAATGTGTTCAAAAAAGAGCGTAAGAGATATGAGGATCACACACACACACGCACACACACACACACACACACACACACACACATATATATATATATATATATATATATATATATAGATAGATAGATAGATAGATAGATAGATAGATAGATAGATAGATAGATTGCATATAACCAAAATGTATTACAACTTGAGGTGACGATCAAAAGCGTCTGTTTTACAAACAGTCTTTATATATAATAAAACCTACTGAGATCTACTTACGCCGGTGTGATACCTGTTTCGAGATGACCAACGAAGGATTCATTTTACAAATAAAATTTATACATAAAACCTATTCACTCCTAGTTTAGCAATTGTAATTCACATCTCCAGATGAACAACAAAAGACTCCATTTGACAAATAATCTTTAAACATAGTAAAGTTATATTAAGTTATATTAATATATGGTTGCGTAGTCGTGCCTCCCATCTCGAGTTAACCAAAGAAAAGATTCATTTTACAAATAATCTTTATACATAAAACCTATTGAGATCTCCTTAAGAGGTTGCGATTCAGCACCTTGAGGTGACCAAAGAAAGACCCCATTTTTAAAATTATCTTTATACATAAAGCCTACTGAGATCTCTTTAAGTAGTTGTGATTCCCATCTTGTGGTGACCATCAAAGGCGTCCATTATACAAATCGTTTTTAGGCATATGGAAGCCTGTTCAAAGGTACTGGTTTTGATTATATTTCTTTGTGGGTCAAGGAACATGAACCACTAACCAAAGAGCTTCTTTGTAGCTTTTATATACATTATTATTTTACATACATTTTAACATTCTCTTTTCATACATATTATTCTTGTCAATTGTTCCACGCAGTTGAAGAGGACATAGATATGTAGTTTTATAGAAGATTACTGCAAATGACGTGGAACATGTGAGCAACGATGAGGTTTTATGGTGAATTATAGTAAAAAAGGATGTTTGTATTTTGATTCCGAAAGAAACAGTTAAATGTTGGGTTATGCATAATGAGTAAAAGAGATGTGGATAATTGAACACTTGCATGACATATTGTTGTGGATCCCGCGTGAAAAATAGGTATCCAATAAATGACAAACGCAAGTATTTAAGCTAAGAAATTAAATGTATTTACACAAAATACAAAAGGTAATGCTGTTAGTAAAATCCAGGAACACGGTTACTATCAAATACAGATAGATATATACAGTCTCGAAGTAGGACTTCCTTAGAGTCTACGTGCTTGTAACTGACTTCTACAAGAGGTTACTTCACTCTATCCGACTTCCGACACTCACAGACGACTCCGGTACGACTCATGTACGATTCATCTTCTCTGCCTGACTGTGGCTATTTTATGGCAGCAGGACGAGACCATGTCCAAAAAGGGTGGACCCCATAACACATATTGAAGGAATGTGAAACAGAGGGAGACAGCGAGAAATCTACCTAATTTAGGTAAACTTTCCATCCGCACATGTAAGTTATCGAGTAAAAAATTTTAAAAAAGTATCCAGGCGTCTTATCGATATTTCATCTAATGAAAGATACGTTTAACATACGGCATTGATATTTTTCAATCAATTAGAATTTCTTTTCTGACAAAATCAAGAATAGGCTTACAGCCTGGCATCTCGACTTCAGTTACTTTCCCACAACCTGACGCCATCTTAATCGTATCTTTTCAATAAATATTTCAATGGCAATTTTTCTAATAATCTTTCCTCTTTGGTACCTTAATCTCATGAATAGTAGTAATAAATTTGTAACTAGGCCTTATCGTTTTACTGTTGAAATAGCTAGAAGCAACCGTAAGTTCTATCCTAATAGTTTCTTCAATCCTACATGTCCCCCGAGGAGCTCTCTTCCGGCTTCTTGCTTTCCCGCCAACTAGAATCTTCAAAAATTGAACTGTAACACCATTGGCCGTCTTCTGTCTTTCCGAACCTTGTTAACATATCGTCCCTTCTTCACAATAACGTTTTATCATTTTCTTTCACATCCCACTAACCACTTTCAATCTTTGCTTTAAGCTTTCAATTTTTTTTATAAACAGCCTAAGTAAATTTCTATAAACCAGTATTCATTTTTTTTTCTGGAGTCACACGATATACATTTTTAACCCCCATCCCTGTTTACTCAACTTTTAGTAACTTCCGCTTCCATCTGTGTTTCATCTGTCCTGGGTATAACAATAAACTACATCCGGGTCCTGGGTAAGACGATAAACTACATCCTCATCCTGGGTAAGACGATAAACTACAGCCTCGCCCTGGGCATGACAATAAACTACATCCACGTCCTGGGTAAGACGATAAACTACATCCACGTCCTGGGTAAGACGATAAACTACATCTTCGTCCTGGGTAAGACGATAAACTACAGCCTCGCCCTGGGCATGACAATAAACTACATCCGCTCCCTGGGTATGACAATAAACTACATCAGCGTCCTGAGTAAGACGATAAACTACATCCGCGTCCTGGGTAAGACAATAAACTACATCCGTGTCCTGGGTAAGACGATAAACAACATCAGAGTCCTGGGCATGACAATAAACTACATCCGCGTCCTGGGTAAGACGATAAACTACATCCTCGTCCTGGGTATGACAATAAACTACATCCTCGTCCTTAGTAAGACGATAAACTACATCCACGTCCTGGGTATGACAATAAACTACATCCTCGTCCTGAGTAAGACGATAAACTACATCCGCGTCCTGGGTATGACGATAAACAACATCCGTGTCCTGGGTAAGACGATAAACTACATCCGCGTCCTGAGCATGACAATAAACTACATTCGTGTCCTGGGTAAGACGATAAACTACATCCGACAGCCAGGCCTCTGATCAGGGGGTTGTGAGGAGTGTGGAACCACCTCTTAATTCCCGGTGTTCATAGATCCACCGTGACCTGGGGTGGTAGCACCTGTTAGGATTCCAGCTATGGACAAATAGTTACACCCAATCTTGGGTCAAAACTTGTAAAAATATATTTTATTACCAGCAATACAATTTTGGAAAAAGATATCATCAATACATTTTTTAAAAAAATATTACCAGCAATAACACTCTTTTCGGAATTATATAAACCCTTGGAAATAAACCAAATCAAACCAAACGGAAAGGTAAATTTTGACAAATCCATCATTACGTGTATCTTGGCAAACTGATGAGCGACTGCTTTGGATTACCAGGTGCTGTACTGGCTAATGACTCAGTAATAGATGTAGTGTATGTGTACACATACACATATATGCACATGTAATATATACACCCTTGTTCAAATTAATTGAAACAAAACGAATAATTTCGTTATTATTTACATTTATTTATTTTTTTCCAGTAAAACATGACCCAGTGCACATGTTAGCATTTCGTATGTCCATTTCACGAAGTCGTTTTTTGCAGATTGAACACAGATTCTTGATAGGATTTAAATCAGGAGAGTTTCCGGGCCAGTATATACTACTTTGATTTCTTCGCTGGTGAGGCTTGCTACTGTGTTCGTGCAGAGTTCCAATTTTAGTACGTTCATTTGGAGTAACATCCATCGCAGACAATAGCTGTAGGACAACTAATCGACAGTCGGGATAATAGTGTTTAGGCATGATAAAAATCTGATGCAATCACGGATGACGCAATATTTCAAGGCCAGACACATTTCATCATACACCCCAAAAATAAATTCATATTACTGCATATCACAGAAAATGACCTTCTCTGGGGAAAAACTAGAAATCGGTTACACCCTTTCATTCCAGTGGATCTAAAACTGACCGTATGGTGAAAGACGAAAACTAAAACAGTTGTTTCAGTTAATTTGCAGAAGGGCGTGTATATATATTGTTGAGGGGTTCTCCCCTTTTTACACAAATGGACTCACCCAGGGTATACATATAGTACTGATAGTGAATACCCGAGAGAGGAACGAGAAGAATCAGAAAGAGCGACGAACGAGCGACGACCCAGAACGAACGTAAAGAGCAAGAGTCACAGTGAGCAAAGCACGTAAACTCAGTAAGAAATCATACAATGATACGTCGATACCAAAGACTGTATATATATATATATTTTGCTACTAACCCGCATTCCTGGAACTACTAACATGCATTACCAGTTTGTATTATTACATTAATACATTTATTTTCCTATATTCCTTCTTGGAGTTTGTTATTTATTGGTACCGGATTTCATCCCGGAATCCACAACATATATATATATATATATATATATATATATATATATAATTTGCACAAGGGTGTATATTGGAGACATTTCTCTATTTTTTTTATTATGTATTTTTTTTCTTTTTAAGAGCAATTAAAATGGAATTGAGTAATCTATTTCACTGAAGAATTGTTTAATAAAAAGATTTTATAAATTTCAACCATCGGTAGCAGTTGATGCTCTGTCAATCAATGTCGAGTATTTCAGTATAAGGAAACGGCAAATAATACCATTACAATTGTTTGGAGGTGAGGAGAACAGATACTACATTTTGATCCTAGCTCGGTGGTCGGAGAATTAAAAAGGGTAAATCGGGTAACATTACCGCTTCTGTTAATGAATGCCTAATGTATCTGTTATGGTCCAGTTCCTTGTACCACGGTGATAGCCCAAGGTAGAACCAATAAAGAAGAACTCGAATACGGATATGGAATAACACAGATATATTACAAACAGGAATATATACAGAGAAGTAGAAAATGTTAGTACGAACAATCAGGTTTAGTAGTAATTGTCTGAACGCAACTCTGTTTCGGACTGCCTCTGACTCGACTGACTGACTGACTAGCTTGCTCTGACTGACTGACAGACTCCTGACGGACTTCACACCAGACTTCAGACTAAACAGTATTTAGTCACCCCTCCACGAGGGCATCATGTGGCACAAGGCCGGCCTAACGTGGGATCCCCGAGCCCATGGGCTCGGCCAAAAATAAGCCGTTTGAACCCGTATAAACGGGTTCAAGGTCGGTTTACCTCCCCGAAAGAGACTCCACCCTTCGGCGTAGCCTCGTTCGTGTTCCTCCCCGCCCGAAGGCAGAGAGTTCAACCGATCAGCCGGTCAGCCTGTTGCCCGACTTCGGACTGAACACTCTGCTTCCTCTTGAGGCGCAGTATTTATTACGTATGGAATAGTCCATTATGTTATTATGGGTAAATTCCCATAACAGTTTCCTTATAAGGAAACAACTAATATCACCTTTACTGTTAGCATATCATCTGTAATTGATAACTTAAATTGCATCAAGTTTGACAAAATATTCTTCTTAATATTTAAGCTGTTTTAATTATCTTCGCTTCGTTTTCCTGATTTCTCAAAGGATACCTAATTTGGGACTCTGCCCTGAATTCTGTTCGTTTTTAGAAAAGCTGTGATCCCGAGGGGCATAACTCTTCTTATTATTTCCAGTTCCACCGTTTTCTTCTACCAATGTTCATGAAGACCATTACATTTGCTCCTATAACGATTGGCACAACTGTCTCCCTGGCAAAATCTGGACACTATCTTTTTTCTTTTTTTATCTGCGATCTGGATGTTTTTTTTTCCTTGTTTGTGACTCACAGATTCGATCTGTTCCAAGTCTCCAGTGAAGGCCTGCTATTTTTCGAATATTTTCCGAGTATTTTTTTAAAATATTTTTTTCTTTCTTTCTTTAGTTGGACTCATTCTTTCTCTTTCAATAGCTATACTCAGCATTTCTTTCTTACTACACTTTCTTTTCTTTCTTTTGTTCCTTTCTTCACTTATACTTTCTTCTTTTTCTTCTTTCAGTTATTCAGTTATTTCAGTTATTCTTTCTTTCTTTCGATAGCTTCACTAATTCTGGCTTTCTTTCTTTCTTTCTTTCTTTCTTTCTTTCTTTCTTTTCCTTCAATTATTCTTTCTTTCTTTGCTTATTTATTATTTTGTCTCTTTCTTTCCCTTCAGCTATTCTTACTTTCTTTTTTGTTTTCTTTCGATAGCTTCATCATTTTTTCTTTCTTCAGTGATTCTTTCTTTCTTTCTGTCTTTCTTTCTTTCTTTCTTTCTTTCTTTCTTTCTTTCTTTCTTTAATTCCATTATTCCTTCTTTCTTCAATTATTTGTTGCTTTCTTTCTATTCAGCCATTATAATTCTTTTCTGTCTTTCTTTCGAGAGCTTTAGTCAATTTTTCTTTCTTCACTGATTCTTTTTTCTTTCTTTCTTTCTTTCTTTCTTTCTTTCTTTCTTTCTTTCTTTCCTTCTTTTCCTTCAATTATTCTTTCTTTCTTTGCTTATTTATTATTTTGTCTCTTTCTTTCCCTTCAGCTATTCTTACTTTCTTTTCTGTCTTTCTTTCGATAGCTTCAGTCATTTTTTCTTTCTTCACTGATTCTTTCTTTTTTTTTTTTTCCTTCAGTTATTCGACTGGCACAATTGACACCTTTATGCTTCACATTTTTCTCAGCTTCCTCGCAAAATCGGGACACTATCTTTTCATAGCTGCGATCTGGCCTTTCATTTTCTTCTTGTTTGCAGCTCAGAGATCCGATCTACCTCATGTTTCCAATGACGTCCTGCGATGTTCCCGTGTGTCTTTTTTTTCCGCGTATTTTTTTTTTTTTTGTCATTTTTCTTCTTTATTTCTTTGATTTTCACCCATTCCCTCTCAATTTGCATCCATCTCCCCCTCTCTCTCTAATTTTGATTTATTTATATACTTTGTTTATTTTCTATATTTTTTTTTTAGTTTCTTCTCTCCGAATATTCATAAACATTTTTATTTGTTTCTCTTCTAATTCTCTTTTTATTCTTTTTCTTTCTTTCTTTCTTTCTTTCTTTCTTTCTTTCTTTCTTTTGATTGCTTCAGTCTTTCTTCAGTTATTCTTTCTTTATTTCTCCCTTCTTTCTTTCTTTTAGTTATTCTTCCTTTCGACAGCTTCAGTTATTCTTTCATTCTTTCTTAAATTATTTCCTCTTTTCCTCTATCTTTACTTCTTTACTTCCTTTCTTTCTTTCTTTCTTTCTTTCTTTCTTTTTTCTTCATTCATTTATATAGCTATTCTTTCTTTCTTCAGTTATTTTTTCTTTCTTTGTGTCCTTCTTTCTTTCCCTTCATTTATTATTTCTTTCTTTCTATAGCTTCAGGACTTTTTCTCTCGTCAGTTTCTTATCTTTTTTAGTTTTTCTTTCTTTCTTTCTTTCTTTATTTATTTATTTTCTTTCCAACTTGCTTTTTCTTTCTTTTTTTCTTTCTTTCTTTCTATTTCACTTTTGTTCCTTCCTTTCTCCTGCTTTTTTTTTACTTTTCTATCTTTCTTCCTTTCCCCGTTTCTTTCTTTCTTTCTTTCTTTCTTTCTTTCTTTCTTTCTATTTCGTTTTTGTTCCTTCCTTTCTCCTGCTTTGTTTTTACTTTTCTATCTTTCTTCCTTTCCCCGTTTCTTTCTTTCTTTCTTTCTTTCTTTCTTTCTTTCTTTCTTTCTTTCTTTCTTTCTTTCTTTCTATTTCACTTTTGTTTCTTCCTTTCTCCTGCTTTGTTTTTACTTTTTTATTTATTTTCTTTCCATCTTTCTTTTTCTTTCTTTCTTTCTTTCTTTCTTTCTTTATTTATTTATTTATTCATTTATTTTCTTTCCAACTTGCTTTTTCTTTCTTTCTTTCTTTCTTTCTTTCTATTTCACTTTTGTTCCTTCCTTTCTCCTGCTTTGTTTTTACTTTTTTATTTATTTTCTTTCCATCTTTCTTTTTCTTTCTTTCTTTCTTTTTCTTTCTTTCTTTCTTTCTTTCTTTCTTTCTTCAATTTTCTTTCATTTTACAGTTTTTCTTTCTTCAGATATTATTTCTTTCGTTTCTATTCCCTCAATTATTATTTCTTTTTTTATCGTGATTGTTTTGATTGTTTTTCTTCGTCCTCCTCCACGAATAAGTTTCTTCGTGTCTTTTTCCTTACACAATTCCTGTCCTTGTTTCTCTTCAGTTTCCACGCTTAGAATTCTTCTGTGAATTCCATATGACAATGTGCAATTACGTCCTATTGTTGAAAGGGATGATAGAGGAGGCAAAAAAGATATACATATACACTCATACACAAAACACACACACACATACATATATATCGAGTGTGATATGTAAATTGTCGCCATTTCATATTTTTATTTTCACGCATGCGCGTTTGTCTTTGATTTTGTCGACTGCAGAATATAGTAGGGTCAGTTGGGCACCGTCTGTGAAAAAAAGAGCAACATGATGCAAATCACACCGCCAGAAATTTAGCTTGACATTCGAACCGGAAACTTCAATACGAACATTTCAAAGTGTTTGGGTGTCAATTCGAGGAGAGTGCAGAGGATTCGGAAAGATTTGGATGAGTCTAATGTTTATTAAGAAGCTAAAGCAGTTCAGAGAAGTCACTCTTATCGTTCTGATAAGAAGGAACTACCGAATTTGTTGGTGAGGGCCTCAGAGTCAACACAGGCCTACAACAAGTTCCTTGAGGAGGTAGTGCTGCCCTGAATAATGGTGGTTTCTGGAAGATCTTCTGTATGACAAATGGACTCTGCTCCATGACACATAAGCAGGAAAACCCATTCATGACTGTCAGACAATTTCTGCGACCACATAACCTCATACATCCGGCCATCTACAACCCCAGACTGCAACAGTCTTGATTATTATGTATGGGGCGCAGTTGAGCAAGTGACCAAGAAAACTTCTTGTAACATCAAAGATTAACTCAATGCAAGAATGATGGCATCATTCATCAAGCAGACGATCTATCTTGTTTGTTCTGAGATGTCCGCTTTTTTCTTTCTGTGCATTTTCGCTGGATCGTCACTTTTATAGATAACAGTTTTCTTTGTCTTGTCATCTTCGTCTAAAAAAGTAATATATCTTCCTTCCGTAAGTTTCTCTCTGTCTGAGCTTCTTGCTCTGTACTTTGAAGTTGACTTAATTTACTGATAATCATCGATCGAAAATAAATGTTCCGTATCGAGTTTTGCGGCAGGTCCCGTTGTTTTCAATTTAAGAAGACCTCAGCTGACTCATATGTCTACACTAACCTCGGGATACCAATCAAGTAACCTTTTACTTCATCTGTTATATTTTCTTATTGCTAGGTGAGTTTTCTACCAATTGTCGTTCAATTACTACTATGACATTTCTTACTTCTGTTAATTGATTCAAGTTGACTTCTTCCTATCTCTTAGAGAGCATTGATTTTTCAATTCATCCTTGCTAGTCTCTGGCTGTTTTCAATTCGATTTTCGATTGTTATTCTTACTTGGTATCTAAAAGTCATGACTGGCTTTATTAAACAATTGATTTCTAAAAGCATATTAGGAAAGTACTTTACACTGTGTCGTTATTTTCATTAAATATTTACCAACAAATTGTTATATGCCATTTTATTTCAGTTCAGTGATATTTATTTTATGTTATCACCTGTGCTAAATATTCTTCGTCGACACTTCATTGAGTGTTACACGTACCATCTTGCACACTATTACCTGTCTCATGGTGGGGTCATCGGTGCCTAAACGCGTTCCACGGCTTGGTGACGAGGATGGCTAAACACCGAGCCAAGTTAAAGAGAGAGCCGGTGGAAGAAACTTTTTGTAGGGTCAAGGATCGCCTAACAAAATCAAGTAGATTAGGATCCAAGCGCTAATAACAAGACACCAGTGGGTGGAGGAAAGAAGGCAACGTCCAGGGTGGAAGTTTCCCCCGATTGAATCGACGTGACTAAGGCGGGTGTTTAAGCTGGCGGACGTTGGCTGTAAATTAACCTTGAGAGAAAGTGATACAACTAGGCCTCCCTACCGAAGACGCGCTACACGTGGATGAGTGCCTCACCAGCTTTCAATTTAGATATAGGATGTGAAGTGGTCAGTTGCTCTGTAGCGTCATGGGGATAATGATGATGATGATGAAGATGAGGAAGTGGATAACGATAATTATGATGACGATGATGATAATGATGATGATGATGATGGACTTCTGCTTGTTCATCATCATCATTATCATCATAAATGGAAATAACAAGACACTAGCATCGAATTCAGTCGATGTAAAAATCGGAGAAAAATGGTGTCCAAGATGGCGACCAGAAAATAGAATATTAGAAAGAATGTAGTCTTTTTTTTTTTTTTTTTTTGCAACTTTATGATACAAAAAACACCGCATTTGTTTTGTACAGAGAAGAATGAAAAGGAGAATTAGGTGGAGGAAAAATAATAGCATAATCATGTTGGGGGTATTTGGCTGTGTAAATCGTCCCAGTTCATGGTCGACGCATGAATCTTGCAAGACGTCCGTCGGAAATTAGTCTGCAAACCCCGGGTGAGAGAACAGCCTTGGCGAAAGAAAAAAAAAATGTGAAAACAGTTTCTTTTTTTTTTTCACACTTTTTAAGCTGTGTATTTCCCAGATTGTTTACATGTGTAGACCGAATGTACGGTAACACGTGCGTATTGACGTTACCATAGAGTTATTTTCACAAAACAGCCCACACAATGCGAATTACAGTTTTTCACATATATATATATATATACTCGGCAGATAAACACAGGTAAAAATCTATACACTTTTATAGATACACGATCATAGGAAAGATATGAGACTGGCACGGGATGTAAATTAAAAAACATATAGAAATATTTATATATGTATCTACATACACAGGGACACACACACCTAAAATGAGAGAGAGAGAGAGAGAAGAGAAAAGACAAAAGTAAAAGAACACTTTGCTGTACATTGTTATTATCAACAGATCAATTGATTAGAAGAAAGATGGAAAGACAGAGGAAGAAACAAGTAAGAAGGAAAGAAAGAATGAAAAAAGACGATGAAAATAAAGAAACAAAAAAGAAACAATATAAACAAGGTAAGAAAGAAAAGAAGGAATGGAGAAAAGAATGAAGAAAAGAAAGAAAAACGATGAAAAGAGGAAAGTATATAAAGAGATGAAAGAAATAAACAAAGTAAATGAAGGAAAATATGAGAATGAAAGAAAAAGGAATAAGTAAAAAAAGAAAAAGAAAGAAAAAGGAACATGTAAAGAAAGGGAGGAAGAAAGAAAGAAGAAAATAAAGAATGTAAAAGACAAAATGAAGGAAAAAAGATAATATAAAAAGGAAAGAAAATAAAGAAAGAAAACGAAAAAAAAGAAGCAAGAAACAAAAATAATTAAATTAAGAAATAAAAATGGAATGTACAAAAGAAAGAAAAAAGAAAGAAAGAAAGAAAAGGAGAAAGGAAGTAAAGAAGGAAGAAAGAAAGAAAGTGATAAAAAACGAGAAAGAAAGAAAGAAAAGGTAATGAAAGAAAAACATAAAGAAAAACATAAAGAAATGTATAAAAATGAAAACAACAAACAAAAGATAAATAAAAAAAAATGAAATAAAGAAAGAAAAAATAGATGAAGAAAGAAAGAAAAAAGTGCCTACATCAGCAGAGCAATGAATAGTCTGGAAACTTCGGAAACTCTATGAAATAAGTTCGATTCTAAGTAGATCTGCTATAATATATGGCCGGGGAAATTGTAGCACATTTTTTCATAAATTCCCCTATTTATTAGTCAACATATGCATTATATATATATATATATATATATATATATATATATATATTGTTATCCACAGACAGTCTGTTTCGCTGTATCACAGCTCATCAGTTGCCTCTAGCTAGGATCGAAACCCGATTGAATGAAGAAATATAGTCTTAAGGTGTGCTATATTTATGGGATAAAATGCTCAATATCAGAGATAGAGCATATGTAAATATAAAAGTGAACATAGAAGTTAACACTTAGAGGCAACAGTCTGTTTCATGCTCAACGCAATCATCAGGCCACCTAAGCACATCAAGGCGGTACTCGATTCCTTGGTATGTTTGCTGTAGCAGAACCTCATCAATGTTGGCAATGCTTTCAGTGATCTTTTGCTTTAGATCAGTGATGTCCTGTATCTTTGTCCGATAAACGATATCTTTAACATAAACCTCATAGAAAGTAGTCCAGAATATCCCTTCCAATCCACTGGTCTGAAAATGTACAGGAAACCCCCAATGTGGTGATGGTTGAACGTCATCTAGTTATGGTGCCACACCAATCGCCTTTGTAATATATTTTTTTAAATTGTAAAGAGACTTTATAGACAGCCGATATATATATATATATATATATATATATATATATATATATAGTGGGGTTGGTTGGGTGTATATGTGTGTGTACGTCTGTGTGTGTAATACATGTTAAAGAAAGAAAAACATTAATCACACAATAATCCGTCCTTGACTTGTGATAGTTTGAATGTAATATTTTTTCTTTTTTTGGATAAATGCAAAACAGGTAATGAAATGAACAAATAGGGACACACACACACACACACACACACACACACACACACACACACACACACACACACACACACACACACACACACGAAAATAATGTTTATAATAAATATTATAAGATTATTGCCAAATATATATCAAAAGATCATGATTTTGAAACGTTCCCCAGATATATTTGCTCTTTTCGAAACTAAATTAAATTCTTCTCTCGCTACCAATGAATTCTCTGCTGCAGGTTACCTTACTGTTTGTCGAAATATTCTAGGATATTTATGCATGGCTTGGTGTTTATATTCACAAAAATCCCTCAGTTTCAAGGGAATTGTCTCTTAACTCCCCAGATTATTATTTCATTTCTTTCCATCATTCGTTGTTACTTTTTGTTAGCTATTTGTTGTTCCTTAAATTTGTATTCCTTCTCAGGACTGTTATATATTAGACTTCCTGACAATATAGAAATGTCTCCCTCCTCTCTCTCTCTCTCTCTCTCTCTCTCTCTCTACGTCCATCTGCGAACATAAATGTACCTTCGCTATGCCTTTTTTTATACTCATACTTTTATAATAAATGTACGTACGAACTCTCCACTATGCACTCTATGAATTTAATTTTACTGTTATGGGCACTACCA